GATAGTTGGAATTGAGAATGAGTGTTTGATTGTACTGTGTTCCGTTTTCATAGAACAAGAGTTGAGAAAGCTGTAGGGAGTTGGCGTCAATGTTCTGCCGTTGCACATGAATGTAGACTAACGAATGGGAAGTTCTGGGCCTTCCAGATGTTGTTGTAATATACAGCCACAAACACAACCCTAGACATGAGTCAATGCAAGGTCTCGAATCAGGGCGGAGTGATCGCACATGCAAAGGAGGTAGCCCAGAAAACTCGACAACTGTCCAAAAAATAGTAAGACTTCTGGCCCTCGGATTTGAGAAGAGGTCATACCTGTGCTTTAAGCGGGATAGTCATAGGGTTCACCCCGGGAGAAATATACTGTCGCAGATCCAGTCAGTAACGCAATCCGCTCCGAAGTTCGTGTTCACACTTACTTGCCAGTCAAAGCAGAAAGACAGGAGCCCTAGACCCTCGTTACCGTCTGTACCACCAAACACTCGCGAGACGGCGGCATTGTTGGGAGCTGCAAGACACATAATCGACAACCCGGTCAGAAGCGGAAAGATCCATTCTGGCAAAAGCTCCCAAAAAAAGATACTGAGTCGATCAGCATGTTTGATCATTGCTGGTCTTAATCGAGGGACTTACGCAGTAAACACAATGTAAAAGACTCTGAGCTTTTTCCGTGCTGTCATCCCGCCCTCGTAGAGAGCATCGAACATAGACAGCAATGGTAGCACGCCGGGGTATAACATCTTTGATGGATACAACAGGATGCCTGGTAGAGGCATGTGAACACCGGGTTCAACAACAGACTCAATTGTGGACATACTTCTCATCATGCCAGCAATTCCATAACTGAGAACTTTGTCAGCGTCTGCTGTAAATTTAACAAAAATTCTCGTACCCAAGAAGTTGAGAAGAGAAGAGTAGGAACACTGAGGCACCGGCATTGGGCGTGACATTGTAATACAATCTTTAGTAAAGATCAGTAAATTCCATCAATATGAGTAAGGGTCACTGACCGCTGGACAGCAAGAACTTCGGTACCTAAGGCGGAGTTGGCAGAGGCGCTTGCCATGATCACAACGAAGGCATTTTCTTTCTTGTTGAACGGTCCCTGTGAAACATGCTTAGAATAAGGCAACGAGCGAGGGTAAATTGGTTTACGGGGTTCAGATAGCACAGGAGTCCACGACGAGGAATAAAGGTCTCCATGAAGATGCCCAGGATATAAGAAACAACCGCGAGGAACATCAATGACACTAAAATCGTTTGCTGCGGCAATGATATGAGCACATAAAGTCGTCATGCTTGCTCTACTACGCACAGGCTTGAAATAATAGATTTCCGCTACAAATTAACATTAATGAATATCATACTGGCTAAAAACGAACTCAAAGAAGCTCACCGAGTACTCCACCAAAGGTTGAGAGGCCAAGACCAATAAAGAATGCACGGAATGTCCACGGGTTCAGAGAAGGGTCGTCGTCCACCGAGATGACGTGCGTAGCAATATCACGTTCATTGGAGAGCACGCCTTCCTCGCTGTCCGAGTCAGCATCAACTGTTGCAGTTTCAACGTCGCCTTTCCTATCGAACGATTTGTCACTATTGCTGAGAGCTTTCTCGCTGGGCACAGTGTGCTCGCCGATCGCCCCTGCAGCGGTCAGACTCATCGTACCTGATAAGACAGTAATGTAAGAGAAGCGAGAAGTTTCAGCGCTCAGCCGCTGACTATAAGTATTTACCTCAAAGTCACTCAAACGCAGATAAACGACTATTCTCGTAATTGGAGATCCAGTTGTTCGGTACGGCCATCTCTGTGGCACCAGCTGCACGCGTGGTATCGTGAGCATGTGTCTCGTGTCTAGTAGCGAGATAAGAGGGTACCTTGGAATTATGAGTCTAGCGAAAATAGCTCTGTTTTGGCACATAACGTTGGTCAAATAGTACGTGCCTGGGGAATGCATTTAATAAGTATTGCGGATCAAGTTGGCTTCGGCCATCAGGAAAAGTGGTCAGGTCCAGAGAATATCCGACGGACCCGTGACGCCTTCCGAGGCGCGAGCGGCGACATCATTTGTTCATCACATCGATGCATCATTGTCCAAGATGCCCATGTTCACTTCACAAGGCATTACTAGACCCTCTCCACTTCACGGCAGCCTTGCGAGGCATATCAAGATTAGCGCTATCTAGGATGGGGTTGCGAGGGAAACTTCATTTGTGTGGGCAATGGTGCGTTATTTTGATAATTTGAGATCCACTAACCTCAGTGGCCATGCAAAGCAATCGACTCCAAGTTGCGCGGACGAAAGCCCGCACGTTGAAAGTTCGAACACGTAGAGAAGTAAGCACAGCAAGAAATCATTCACGACATGTGAATACACGTCCTGCCATTTGACAACTCCATTGAAGGTCAGGAACATATTTGATGAGTCTACTTTAAACCCAAATTTATATATATATATAATTAAAAATACTCGAAGCTGTGTAACATACCAGGATGATCGGATCAGCATCATCGTGCACGTGTATGTCCATTACATAATATCCATTCCTTCATGTCATCTCATTTTGCAAAGTCTTAAGCTAACTCTCTGAAAGGTCATAAACGTCCGCGCGATTCCGATTCATTATGACATACAGTGTTCTTGCTCATCAATGGTGTGAAACGTGCACTTCGGTCTGGGAGATTGGTTCTAGAGCGAACTTGACCCTCAGCTCTACATCTTGATATAAACGCTATCTTTGGTATCTTGTCACTGAGCAGAAGCATGGGATCCTGATTGCGAACTGATGTTGACCCTCACCCAGATTATCTGCCGGACCTTGTTCTATTGTAATCGGTCTGCGGATTTTGTTGCTAGGAACTTGTGCGCATTAACCTGATAGGGCGATTGCAGCGTGTTTCTGCTGCAGCTCATATGCACTAGGCATTGATGAATTCTCGTTATCGTCGTCATCGCCCATAGCATTATTCCTTTTCCTACTTATCACGTGCACTTGCATATATAACACGCACCGTCTCGTCTCCGCATGCCTCAGTCGTTGTCTCCAACCACCACTAGTACTGAGGCCTGAGGTATGGTTCCTAGTTCCTCGCCCCGCCGTCTCTTACTTTCATGTTCTCTAGCGCGTTTTGTCTCTAGGTACTAATAATATTGAGTCGTTGTTTCCAACCACTGAGCGTGTTTCGCGTCTAGCTTCTAACAGGTTGTCAGTTGCGCTTTCTAAACGAGATCTTATCAGGCTACATACCGACATGCGCCCTTGTTTCAGCGACTCGCTGTAATATTCTCTTAGAGATCTTTCGTCGTCTTTCTTTGACATAGGAAAGCTCAACTACATCCCGGAATTGACAGGTCCGGATACATTGCGTGGAAGCAGGAGGTCACCTGTGCCCTTGGTATTGAGGATGAGGACGTATAGTCAAGACTCGACAGCAGATCGAATATCCTTCGCTTTCATGATGGACTCAATCCACTGGCGGCTCATTGTGTTCTCCGGGTGATCCGCTTGAAAGTAGGTGTCGGCGCACGATGCGTTACGATAATGCATGATAAACAGGAACTTCCGCAGGAGCTCTAGTGACCTCCGCTTCAGAGTGAAAGTACCCTGAGGAAGCGCTTTATGCAACCCCATGATGATGGAGGTTGCATGGCGTTCGAGGTCCGCTAATTTCTCCTCTAGTTCATTAATATTATGGGTGTTACGGACGTCCTGATAGAAATTTGGTACCCCGTAGACCTTTCCAATGGGGCGAATGTCAAGGCTACCCGTAGCAATATCATAGTAGTGGACGTATTCAGGACCAACACCGGTGTGTCGAAATTCTCTTTGTCGTTCTGTTTTCGACCTGCAAAGAATATCATTCAGTGTTCTGGTCTAGTGCCTACACGCAGAGTGCTCAAGAGGACTCTGAAAACACACCTCACAGGTCCAACTTGGAATCTTCGCAATATAAACTATGGAATGAAATGTTGGTATTGTATGGTGGATGCACATGGACTCGGAGAGCCGTCCGTCTTCTGAGCTTCTCCTGCAAGCTCCGTTCTGGCTTGTTGTTTTGGGGTATTCTTGCGACGTCGTGTCATTCTGTAGAGCTCAACGATTCCTATTGTAGGGACTGAGCGCTGAAACACTGGCACGTGGGCCACATCTGTGGCACTGTCGTAAAACACCATGTAAAGAGCATATAGTACTACCTTATCAAGTTATGTAGTGGTTGATAAAATTTAAAGTTCAACATTCAAACTTCGTTTTGACCAGTGACTACTGGGTATCCATCTACAGACGGGGCCATTTAAGATTGTGAAAGTCATAGTAGGTCATAGTCTTGATATCAGACGAAGTTTATATATGGTGTTAAACGTCACGAAAGTCAGAGTTACTGCCGGTCTGGGGCAGGTCTGTATCACTGGGCACGCAGCCGCGGCAGGTTTTAAATTTAAACGTGCTCTATGTGCTGGTGTTGGGTAACAAGCGTTAGACTAATAAGATGAACCTCGAGGAAATCATCCATGAAGAATGTCAAAATGTTCCTATTAAAAAAATGCCGTCGGCAGGTTTCGACCCTGCACAGTCCAAGAGAAATAGATTTCGGTTCCGTTGCGGTTTGAACTACTTGGCTAATAAGACCGGTGCAGAATCCAGATGAACGCGTGAGGAATCATCGATGCATCCATAAGTGAATCTTCGAGGCTGTTCTGATAGACAAAAAACCTTGTCGTATGCGGGTTTCAAACCTGCGCAGTTCGAGAGGAACAGATTTTGAATCTGTTAACAACCACTTGGCTAAGCCTAGTTGAGATGGACCAGAGGAAACCATCTATGAGTGAATCGTCAAGAGTGTTCCAACCGCATTGCCCGACAAGACCTTCTGTGTCACAGTATTGTTCCACTTCTGTATCATGCCGTCTCATGAAGCACTCATGATGTGGTGCAAGCAGACAAGATTCCATATATCCTCCCCATGTTCCTGAAACTTGTGCTTTGGAGTAAAACAAACCTTTTCATCCGCAGGTTTCGAACCTACGCAGTCGAAGAGGAACAGATTTTTTTTTGACTCTGTTGCGGTAACCACTTTTGCCAGGAGGAAGTTGAGATGAACTTCCGAGGAAACCATCCATGAGTGAACGTCAAAGTGTGTTCCGATAGCAAAAAAACGACGTTCAGCAGATTTCGAACCTGCGCAGTCCAAGAGAAACAGATTTTGATTCTGGCGTGGTAACCACTTTGATCAAGATGGAGTTGAGATAAACCTCTGAGGAACTGTCCATGAATGAATGTCAGGGTTACATCAGTGAACCGGTGAACAAATGAAAAGGTCATAAGATAGACCGCAGTCATACCTCGCTTGATCACGTGGTGTGACTTTGGCGGTGACCGACTGTGACGCTATGTTACATTTTACTATTGACAATCACGCTATACATGAGCTCCGTCGAGATCGTGCAAAATACTATCTGGCAGTACTCGGTGGCCTCTGTACTTCTTCGAAGCCCACGCAGCTTGCTTCCCATTCAGTCCTTTGTGATATGCATCCATGAACCGGCAGGCTCGTGTTGAAAACCTGAGTGGTGTGAAAATTTGAATGTAAGATTTCAACAATTAACACACCGGCGCATACTGTCGAGCGGCACTGATTCGAGAGCCGAAAGAACATTCCGTTCGAGGTCTACTTCGGACTGGATGGAGGAGACTCGGACATGTTGGTTGTCATTGGGACTTCCTGTGGCCATGGTGTTAGTATTTCTGTAGGCTGCTTTAAATTATAAGTTTTCTTACATTTTCTTTGTTTCCCGAGTGACCAAGTGACTTTGCCCAACTTCCGAGGTTTGCAACATTGAACAATTTCCGTTTCGGCATAGTGGAGAGATACATAGTGTAGTTCCGTCATTGGCAAGCGGATCATTAAGTAGCTGACAAAGCACAATGATCATGTTCCGAGTACGAAAAAGTTATCTCTACTCCTAGTTTAAGCTGTATTGTAATTCTGAAACCTAGGTCCTCTGGGGGTGTACTTAAGTCAACTTTCCTTGGTTTTAATTTGGCGAACAAAGACAATTTGAAGGGTGAGATACAATTCTGGCACTTTTGTCACGAAATTGTCACAATCTGATCACATGATCAAGCGAGGTATGACTGCGGTCTATCTTAGTTAACTTTGTATTGGTAACAATAACAACAATCAACATAAATGTGGCGGGGGGGGTTACTTAGAAATGTTTGACCTTACGAAGGAAAGATGAATGTGTAAGTAAGCCAGTCGAGTTGTACTGCCCTCTATGCTCCATTGTAAACACGAACTGGTCTGTGAATAAAAGATGTGACACAAACTAAGTAATAGAGTGAATCGTCAAGACAAGCGCTATGTCGGAAAAAAGTCAAGGACCATTTTAATGCCGCCGGCTTACAACACTGGTCAAATGCCTTAAAAGGCACCTTTTAAGGCACTGGCAAGCGTCTCGACCGTTCGAGGTTCATTATAATGGATTCTGATGGCATTATATGCTATTATTAGTATTTCCGGCTGACATTGAATCGATAATCGGCCCGTTTCAAGGTTCTCTCTGAGTCCGCCATCACCCTCTCTGCCGTTGGTTAGCAGCCTCCCTCTCTGTTGTACATAACAAGTCCATACCTATACCTTATTCATATCTGTTGTATTATTTCCTGGATCTGATGGCCCCAACTCGTTCTGCTCGACGAGGGACGTATAATCATTCTGCAGAAGGGGCGCTAACAGGACAGATGACTTGTACTCACTGTGGCACAAAATTCAAGGCGCAGGGCATCAAGAACCACGAGACCAGCTGCAGGAAGTGCCTGGAAGCTGAAGAGGAGCAACAACGGTTCGATCAAGAGTACGAGAAAGGGCGACGAAAAGGTAAGTCATCTAATTGTGTACCAATGATATTACACTCATCTAATTGATATTATATTTGAACTTCCAGCAAGAAAGGCTCGCAGGGCCCTTAGACTTGAAATCGGTGAGGCTGGCCCGTCAAATATAGCCAGTACCTCTGATCCCAAGTCTGATGTGAGTGATGCTCACAACGCATTGCCTGAGCCTGAGGAGCAACTTGATTATGACGGCAATGCGGGAATTACAAGCCCCGGTAAGCATGTTGACTTCATTAGCGTTGTTAATTCAGATGCTGACTTATTTTGTACAGTATTTTCCGATGCAAGCATGGCCAGTAATAACCCTGTGCCCACGGCATCTGCACGACTCCCCAGTGAGTTCAAAACTGAGTACCATCCTCGTTCTGGTCGCCCAACTCTCTTCCAACCCTTTGACGAATTCCGTATCTCCTCAGAGGCACAGCACACGCCTATTATTGATAAGGAACCATGGCGTCCCTTCAGATCACGTGGGGACTTTGAATTTTCTGAGATCGCAATCGAAGCTGCACTCAACAAATCTCAAATCAATGCACTCCTCAGTCTCATCACACGTGTCTCTGAAGGTAATGCTCAGATAACCTTGAAGAATGAAGCCGATCTCTCCAAGGCATGGGACAATGCCGCAGTTGAATTAACACCAGTATGTCTTGTCCTGACTCTCGTGCGATTATATTGCTTAACGCTTTAGCTAATTAATTAAATAGTTCTTGAAACACGAAGTCAGTGTAACCTACAAGAAGAATGAGCAGGTGTACGAAGTTCACGCATGGCCTATTTGGGATTGGGCGCTCGATTTATTAGATAACCCATTGCTTGTGCCACACTTTGTCTGGGACGCGTGCCGTGTTTTCAAGCACAATGGCACAAGGTTTGAGCGCTTCATCAACGAACCGTGGACCGCAGATAGGTGGTGGGACATTCAAGTGCGTAATAGTTGTTTATCAAATCAAACACATAGATTCACGCTACTTGTATTTCGATGTAAATGATATTATTAGTCTTCTCTTCCCGATGTTGATGGCGCCGTCCCGCTCTGTTTCATTCTGTACGCTGACAAAACAAAGTTGTCGTCCCATGGTATGGTCAAGGGGTACCCAGTCGTGGTACGATGTGCAAACTTACCTATACATATCTGGAATGGCGAGACATTTGGTGGTGGCCGCGTCGTCGGATGGTTGCCTATCGTGAGTCTTTGCTTTTACCTGTTGAATATCAATTAAACTTGTACATCACAGGTTCCTGAAGATGCAGGGGAAGAAGGTAAACTTGGATATACAATGCTGAAACGCGTTGTATGGCATGAGTCGTTCTTCAAACTCCTGGAGCATGCAGCACAGTACTCGAAAACTGGGTATTCGCACAAGTGCCACAACGACATTTTGCGATGGTTATTCCCCATCATCTTAATTCTTTCAGCTGACTATGAAGAAAGTAAGTCCTTCCAACATGTAGCCCATATCGCTGCCGATTCCTATGATACATACCCCATTGTTATCACTTTGTTGAGATGGCTAATTAATTATTTAACAGGTGCATGATGTTGCTCATACGTGGTCGCGGCGGCAAGTGCCCTTGCCTGGTGTGCCTTGTACCATTAGCGGAGCTTCATGACTTGTTGAAGACCTACCCCCTTAGATCTATGGAGGAAGCGAAGGAAGCACTTCGTGTTTATGGGCACAGCAAAGCCCAAGGTGAGGAGATATTGAAAGCTCTTGGATTGCGGCCTGTTGAGGTACGCTGAACTTTCTTGCATGATTCAAATTTGCTGACATTAAGAACACACTTAGAATATCTTTTGGATCATATGGTTTTTGGATCCACACGATGCGCTCAGCTTCGATCGATTACACTCGTTGCATGGTGGTGTTTGGAAGCACCTACTTGGAGAACTGAAGAAAATCCTCGCATCACTTGGACGCGAAGCCGAGGCAGCATTTGAGAAGCTGTAAGTCATTAATACTAATCCGTTTTTTTCACAATCTCCATCATTTTGCAGGATTGATGACTTCCCTCGATGGCGCAACCTCAACCACTTCAAATCCGCTATCAATGTCTCGTTCTCTGATGGAAACAAGCACCGGGACCTATCTAAAGTGAGTTTTTTCCGTCATTTCGCCATCACACATGTCACTCATGATTTTGAAGCAATCCCTTTATGCATGTTTGACTATCCTGACTGCCAGAACCTCCCCAGAGGGCTACCAGCTACTTCGTGTCATCAGCACGTATCTCCAGTTGGATAGTTTGATCGGCCTCGATGTACACACTCAGGGCACACTTGCGGCGATTGAAGCCGAACTTCTGGTTTTTGATACAGAACTTAAGGTGAAGTCCTTCCTTGTCACTTCATAGCTACCCATTCCCATTCACACATTCATTTTAGGCCTATGTTACATGTGCTGAATCATCCAACATCGAGAAACTGAAGCTTGACTGGAATTTTCCGAAGACGCACTTATGGAAGCACGTTGTTCGCGATATCCGACGTAAGGGAGTAGCGCGTAATTTCAGTACACGTCCCAATGAAAAGATGCATGGCCCCCTCAAGGACACCTACCACCATCGAACGAACGGAAAGGACGTCGCAACGCAGGTAAGTCTGCAGTTCCTCGTTACTAATTTAAATTGGACTGATTATGATTTTTTCATAGATCCTTCGTGTCGACCACCATAAATTTGCCCTGATGCTCTTGAGGGAACACGTCAACCAGGTTGACGAGTATGACTGGTTACAAGCCCTTGGTGATGATCTTCCTGATGAAGATGTTGCTGTCACCTTCAATGGTCATGTGAAGCTGGGTGCACCGACACAGCATCCTACATCCATCCTTGATCTTGAGAACCGCAGCTCGGTGGATCGTGCATTTCAAGCTTTCCGGAGGAAGTTTACTGAATTCGTCAACCACTCTCTGCCTACCTATGGGCATCAACTAACAAATTGGATTACATTTCCAGCTGATTATCAGGTATGTAATAATATCTTTAAATTCAGTTTCTTATTGATTTGTTATGCAGATTCATGAACACCGCTATCTTAAGGTCAATTACGAGTCGATGGTCGACTGGAAGCAAGTCACTGATCACCTCCGGTGCAACCCGCAATTCCACGGGTTGCCGCGGTTCGACCATGCCCTCATACAGCTTATGGCGGAAGAAACAATCTTTGTTCAGCTGATATTTTTGTTTAGA